AGACGAATCGAACAACCCATTGTTGGGTTGCTGCCACTAAATTGGTAGTTTTAAGGACATTTTGCAGTTTTTTGTTGTCTTGAATATTATTATAGATAGATATAAACTGTAAACAGCAATAATGTTCAGCAAAGTAAGATCTACAAAAAAGTTAATCTGACCAAAATTGACCCCTTAAGGAGTTATTGCCCTTTAAAGACAATTTTACACAATTTGTTCATCAAGTTTGCTAACATTTAAAAATCTTCTCCTCTGAAATACAGCGATTCAGGCTCTTGAGAGCCTCTTGTTTTCCTAGTTAATCAAGTCCATGACCATTATTTTACTAGGAATTTAAGTCCCAGGACAAATTTTCCTAGGAAAATAAGTCCATAGCTAGTAAAATATGTCTGGCACTTATTTTCCTAGGAAAAATTGTCCTAAGACTTGTTTTTCTAGTAGTTTTTATTATATTTCAAAAATTATTGCAAATAAAAAAACAACATATTTTCTTAATTAAGATTGGAAAGTTCCATTACTTTTTCCTATTAAAATAAAGGACATGGCCGGACATTATAACCTAGGCATGTTAGTGACATGGACATGATGTGCTAGGAAAATTAGTCTGGGGACATAAATTTTATTAAAATATTAATACACAACTTTAAAACAATATTAAAACATAACATTTAAATTTAACTTTCAAAATAAAGGGAATGGACGCTTTTACCTAGGAATATTAATGACATGGACATGATTTCCTAGGAAAATTAGTCTGGGGAGATGAATTTTATTAAAATATTAATGCACAACTCTTAAACAATATCAAAACATAAAAATTGAATTTCCATTGTTTACATGTAAATAATTTGTTTCATTAAAATTTTCCTTTTAAAATAAATGGCATGGACGTTTTTACCTAGGAATATTAATGACATGGACATGATTTCCTAGGAAAATTATTTTGGGGACAAACATTATATTAAAAAAATTGATACACAACTCTTAAACAATATTAAAACATAACATTTATATTTACCTTTTAAAATAAAGGGCATGGACGTTTTTGCCTAGGAATATTAATGACATGGACATGATTTCCTAGGAAAATTATTTTGGGGACATGAATTTTATTAAAAATATAAATACACAACTCTTAAACAATATTAAAACGTAATATTTAAATTTCCAATATTGTATAAATGTAAATGAATTGATTCATTAATATTTTTCTTATTAAAAAAAGAACATGGACGTTTTTACCTAGGAATATTAATGACATGGACTTGAATTCCTAGGAAAATTAGTCTGGGGACATAAATTACTAACATCGGACTAAAAATACTAGTAAATTCTGTAACCATGGACATATATTACCAGGACAAATTTATCACTTACATATGTAATGATACTTGTAGGTGATAAATACAGTTCACTGTGTTTTGAATCAATTGATATAAAATGTAGAAATGGAAAACATCTTTACGAGCGTAAATGTTTTAATTTTTTGGAAAGATTGGAATGTGTTCCAATTCTTTCCTAAGGCACCGGCCTCCAAACAGAAAGTGGACAGAATAGCTACTAAATCTATACACACTGACATATATTCCCAATTGTTCTCATGTCTGTGTACATATGCACACAAATGAACTGGTAAGAAATTTGGTTACATCTTGATTTTGAGTATTTTTTCAAAAATAATAGTCATTACTTTTTTCAATTTTTATCTTTTTACTTAAAGTGTATTTATACATTAACAGAATGATTGACAACTGTCATGATCAAGGTACAATTAAACACAACGGGTGGGACAATTATTTGAATTCTACACAGACTCCTCCCCCTTAATGCCTATCATAATTGACCAAATGTCATAACTTAATTTTATACATAACATGGCAGACCACTCAATACACAAACTTTGACCTCATTAATATCTGATATAATTTGATCTATATATGTCAGGCTCTGTCTTCATGTTAAATTGAAACTAACAAATACTAAATGGAGATTTCTTTAATAAAATTATAAACAGATGATAGATTTTTTTCCTTTACCTATTATGGCTATACATATCTTTTGATTTACACTAAATGATCTGTAAATAATGTTTGAAAGATGATTAATTAAGGATTAATACATAATGCACTTTTTTGAGAAAAGACCAAAATGAAAATCTGTATGAGTAACAGACATGCCCACAAAACAACCATTCACATGTTAATTTTGGGAGATGAAAAATTGACATTAAGTTTCAAGTCTCTTTAACCATTGATCCCAGGTTTACTGAAAAACGAAAATGATAATTTTCTTTATTATGTAATTTCTTCTGTTTAAAAAAACTATAAACATTAAAGACCGTACTTTGACCTATAATGGTTTACTTTTATAAATTTTGACTTGGATGGAGAGTTGTCTCATTGGCACTCATACCACATCTTTTTATATCTATTAAGTTGCAATCATAAAGAAGTTATTATGCAAATTTAGTGACCCACTGACATAACTCTCTCAAGCTACTTTATTCGCTGAAAAATTGCTTATCATTCTAAAAATCTGCAGTAATATAACTAACAAATATGCAATAGTGCTATAGCAAGTTTTTATTGTCCACCACCAATGCTATGGAAGTGTAAAATATGATTGAAATTATACACACAATTCTTCAATCTTTCCATTAGTGATTTTAGATCACTTTGATTTGTTGATTAATGATGTTTGTGTGTAAAGGAACAATCTCATCAAATTTGACGAACTTTGGAATTCTAGAAATCCAATAGCTTGGAAGAAAACAGCGGATCAAAAATTTCCCAATCAGACATGAAAGGGAACACAACCAAAATCATGGGTCTGTTGGTATTAGTACAAACGCCGTATTAGTATCACTACAATATAATAGTTATTACGGTGAGGTTGAATTCCCCGTCATTTATTCATCATCCACGCACTAACTTGTCTCTAAAAAAAACATATCTATGTACCTTAACCTCACTTTCAGGTATAGAGATGTGATTTTTTTTCTGATACAAGTGCTTGTGACCATCCACAAGAACTTAAGGTCATCCGATGTTCAGTACTTCAGTACTTTGATTTATATTAATACCTTTTACTATACAGCTTTCTTATGTTATCATGTTTTATATAGTATAGTTTTATATTTATATATAAACAGTCTATTTCTATATTAATTAAATAAACTGTTTTACTTCCAAAAGGAATTTTTACCTGAAATTAACGATGGGAACACCTGTCAACTTATTTAGTGTAAAAAAGATATTGTCTTGTCTTGTTTTGTTTATTCAAAATTCACAATTAAAAGTTTTCATAATTAAGATAGTATCTTAATAATTGATTTTCATCGATTAACAACTGTTATGCCAAGGTTGACGTAAACGATAATGACATGCAGAAAACAGAATGGTTATCGATTAATTCTCATGGAGATTTTACACTTCCGCTATCGTCTGTAGTCACTGTAATCGATTTTCTATCATAAATGGAAATAAACCATTATCGGTTCCAGGCATTTGTATGGAAATGAAATTAGTTATATAAAAAACATGGATATGAAAATACTTATATGGCAACGTAACTTTCTTAATTGAGATTGTTATTTTGATGTGTATCTCTTGAAATCTGATCGTAAGCAGTTCCAGCAGAAAACGGACCTTGTTGACAAAATGGATTCTTATACATATTCGTTTTCTACGCCGTCTTGGACTAACAATGCACGCGCATTTTTGTCTCAATTTTCCGATATGTTTAGTGCATTTTCTAAACACATAGCACCGACATATCATCATGATCGATGTGAAAGGTGAGTTAGAGTCATTGTCATTTTTTTTCACACAACAAAGGTTGAAACACTAATAATGCAGATGTAGATATTGCTCGCAAAAAAAAAAGTACACAACAACACCTTACAGGACGATGTTAAACAGCAGAAAGTTGGCGACTCTTCACCCCTTTGGCCGATTGTGCGGAGAAAATGACGACAAATGGTTTGCATGTCGGTCATCGATTACTCACGATGTCCTCGACGAACAAAATACACATAGGTTTGAGAATAATTTCCATAAGGAAAAGTGACTGTTTGAAAGGTTTGAAATGATGGATGAAATAAATCTGGGACTATTAATACTGTCAGTATATTATGTCCCAGAGTAAATGTAAGGGTTGAGCACACATTTTTTTTTTAATTAGTAGTTAGTCTTTCTATCTAACTTATCTTTAAACCCCCCTTGTAGAGGAACCATATTTTCATATGTAGAACAGGTGCTGTTACTCCTTCCACCATTGGTCATTTAACCATATTAACATGCTCAGCTCGGATGCTCTCTATATGAGACGAAGGTTTTATATATACGAATATGTGAAAACTGTTGTTTCTTATTTGTGTTTGTAACTATGTATACTGTATTGTTTGTTATATTTGTAAAAATAATATTATAATGATATTATATTATGCTCCTTGTGAGCCCATTTGATGGAAATAAAGCATCTTCTTCTTCTATATTATATTTACAGTAGTAAAATTTATAAAAAATAACAATACAATATTGATAATAACTAGTAATATTTATTCAGGTAAACGGCATAAAACGATATCATACCTTTTTCATAAGGGAGCTACCATTGATTTTTAGGGGGGGGGGGCAGGATGAAAAATTGTGTCCTGCATTTTTTTTTAGTTGCAATCTCTGTCCTGCATTTTTTTTACTAGTTTATCCTGAATTTTTTACACAAATTGTCATCCTGCCTTTATTTTTTACCAAGTTGCTCATCCTGCCTTTTTTTTTACTCAAAACTGTCCTGCCTATTTTTTTAAAATTTCATCCTAGAGCCCCCCCCCCATAAAAATCAAATGGTAGCTCCCTAAGAAACATAATGGAGTCGTTTCTCGTTGCTTGGACTGAAGTCAAAACTTGGGGAAACCGACGTTGTCAACAGTCAAAGCAATCTATAAAAAATTGCGTAATTCTGAAATACTGATTCTATTTTCTTTTTAGAATCTTAGATCTCGATCTTGTTGTTGCTTGACAAACACGAATATTGACTTGCCAACATGGCAAGAGAAATTGAGTCGTAAGCTAATTTCCATCATAAAAAAAACATTGCAATCATTTCCAATGACCCGAGTCTATATCCAGAAATGGCTAGAAGATTTGATCTCGCCCGTATTGATCTAATTTGAACGCAGAGGGTTCGACGTCATTTTATAGACCTCGCTATAATTTCCATAGTATTTATATTTGATAAGGTTATTGGGTCTGGGTAGGGTGATATTTATCCTCTGGACTGTCACCATGTGGGCTAGCTTTCGAGATGCGACGGCCACATATCCACGACGTCCATACTTTTTAGTGTAACTGAAGAGCATGATTCTACAGAATCGAACACAGGACCCCTATGCCACAAGGCAGCGCCCCAACCGACTGACCTTAGCGAGCTAAGGTCAGTCGGCCAAAGCACTGCCCAGCGCCACAGAGGTCCCGGGATTGAGTCCCTGAGGAAACAAAATGACTTTGCCATGAAAATCATGCTCTCCGGATGCATTTGGCGCCCAACTAAAAAATACCATGGTGGTTAGATAGGATTTTTAGCTAGGCCTAGGGTATGCATTATGAGAGCCATAATGATATGATGACTCCTGAGGTGGGGGAAGTAAGACGAGACCGCTTCCATTAGTACATGTGGTAGATACCTAGTCTGCAGCAAATAAAGCACATTTATATATGATATATATAATGTGTATTCCAAGTGAATAACATATAAAAACATAACAAATAATGTAAATACAGCATATATATATATATAATAACCATCTACATGTATAATATCACAATACTTTTTATAAATAAAATATTTCCGAAAAAAAAAGCTATGGACTTCACAAAGTATGGATGATGTTGTCCCATGGTCGATACATCTTTTCAAGGTACATGGATGTCGCGTCCTGCATTGATGGGCTAGCATCTTAAGTAGCAATACACAGTTAGGAAGAACACTCAATAATTAACCACCCTCTTTCCCTTGCTTAATGTTGTGTCATGTATGGAAACAGCATCTTCCATAGATTTGATATCCAATAGTTAAACTGGTGAAATGTAATCTCTTTATCATGTTTATGGTGTAACCATGACATCAATCTGCATTTATTTGATATGAAATATTGCAAGAAAGGGGGGCAGTGGTGATAATGTCACAAATGTCCCCAAAATTGTGTCCAAAGTATAATTTCAATCCATTTGAGTGATACCTTTTCTAAAACCATTGACATTAATCTACTTAGAGATCCAATATAAATCATATGTATTTCACCTCATTACTTGTACAAATATCAGATTAGACCTTTCCTGTACAAAAGACTTAATTAGGATACCCCCGCCCTTTCTCATTGTTTTCTACCCGTGGATGATCGGCTGTGAACAACTGTTGAATGAGTGTATACATAATAGCAGGGTCCCATTGCTGTGACTGTTTTTAAACTCTCTCTGCCCAGGTCTATAGATTCCATACATGATCTCCATGTATGTCCTTGATGACACCAAACCAAGGCCCTCTCCCAACTTTCAGCATAAAATCATCTTCCTCTTTCAAGATGTGCTCCTCATCCTCAGTAAATGTAGACCCTCCATCTTGGAGTTTGTTTCTACAGGGAAATAGGAATGATTCAGACTTGTTAAACAGGGCCTCCCATCAAGACCAAACAATGTGGAGACCATGTGTTTGGGAATCCACCTTTCCTGACAAGGGACCATGTCCTTGTTTTTTACCTACATTGTACTCCCATGGGTGCCTCTGATATATCTGATTCCCCTTCTGGCACCTGAACTGAATGCAGGGGTCTCAGACTGCTCTACAGCTCCAACAGAACTCTGATTCAGAATAAATGTCTTATTGATTCCATCCCATGGGCTATATGACATGAAAATATAGCATAGATCCTAACAGGCTTTAAAAAGTTGCAACACATATTATGACAAGTTGGCAATAGGGGAGGATGAACTGACCATGTGATTCTTATTTACAAATGAACTTCAAAGTGATGCATTCATTCTTAATTTCTCAAACAATCTGAAAATTAACACTATTGTGAATTTATTTTATAGGTCAGTCCAGATGAGATTGTATGCATTGAACAAAAGACAATTTGTACTGGTTTTTGTTACTTTCTTCATATGTTTTGGTATTAGTTTATTGATTGGAGTCGCAGGTGAGTTATTCTCCATATATTTTGGTTTAAGTACTGGTATATTAATTTGAGATGCAGCTAGTTACTTTTGTAATATTCAATCGATTTTTGCTACTGGAAGTTAAAAGTTAAACCAACAATCACAAAAGGCATACTCTTGATATATACACTTGTGTATTGTCAAATTTTAAGTATTTTATTATCCTTTTGAAGTGCATGATTTTCCTGTTGTGACAATCTTCCCTCTACATCTAATGTATCATTTATACATGTTATATGGGGAGAAGTTACAATGATGAAAGGATTGAGTCTTACCACCCTGCCATGTATGTGTTCCCCAAATTTTCTTCATTTCTTTCAATTTTTCATCAGCTACAAATCATAGCATCTTAATATTTGGTATGCAGTTATATTAGGTTAACCTACATCATACATGTATGGCAGAAAATTAAGAAAGGATGTTAATAGAAAAACAAAGGATATGGGGTATCCATCCATGACACAAAATCAGTACATGCACAGCAAAAATACACATATAATGTCATATTTTTGTAATTTTCTCCCAGGCTGTTGTGCTGTGTAGATTTATTTGCTGTTTTCTGTTTATCATAACATGCAATTGCCAGGAACAAAATTTAAATTAATTTTGAGGATTTTTGCTCTTAAAATTGCTGAAGGCCTTATTTCATCTGTCATTTAATTATTGAAAACTTTTGTAGACGAGCGATTTACATGTTGTGTAGACACTTGTCTATTGTTGACAACTTTATGTTCACCCCAAAATGACTTGATTTTTTGTCCTTGTGTTCTTGTCTCACTGACATATAACCTTATCTTGAACTTCACTGTGTACCAGGTTGCAGGTAAGGTTTTACTAAGACAACTCCATGAGTCCTAGACTCATGAAAATCTGTTTGGACTCATCAATATCTGAATTGAGTCCAAAAATGGAAGTAGATTGTACATTGTTGTATCAGCTGAGACCAGCTGTCATCATTTCAAAGCAAAAGTTTAAAAGTTAATCTAAATGTGATTTATCTCCCATTCTCTGTTTTGTCACATGGAGACTTATATAATAAATAACAGCATTTTCATTGTTTTTCTTCTCACTGTTAAACTTGCCATGGGCAAAACTGGTGAACCCCTTGATTTGCCTTTAAAACTCCTAAGTTGAACTGGGAATCCTGTAAAGACCTGTTATAGTGTGGAGAATAAGATGCAGGCTTGGGGGGATGGGGGCAGAGTGGGTACCAATTTTGTGCTATCAACTTTTAAGTGCTTTCAGTTAGAGCCTTCAAACTTTGTAAAATGTCTGTATATAATAAACAAATTGAAGATATATACCTTAAGTTACATACACATTTTATGATTTAAAGAAAGTTTGCAGATTTTCAAGCTAGCAAAACATTGCTATCTTTCAGCAGCATTTTTAATTCAGAAATTATTGTTTTTATTATGGGCAAATTGCAAATCAATAATTAAGGCAAAAAATATTAACTGGCATTTTAAATTTTTATAACATTATTTGATTGCATCATTTACTGAAATTACAATGATTAATATCATGTCTTGTCCTTTCTTCAAAAATCACACAAAATTTACAGTATTGATTTTGAGTCATATAGTTTTCAAACCAGAGACTCACCACTCATGCCACTGTGTAGAATCTTTTTATTAGCATTGACCATATCATACACAAATGTAGAGAACCTTTGTAGATTTCCAAAGAATGTTGGCTTATACATGTACATTAAAGAAGTGCCCTTCGGACTGGCCCCTCCCTTTGTGTCTGGTTTTGGTGAAATTTTGTCTGTTTCAACTTATGTCTCTTAGGCTATATTTTAGTTTTTCTAATTTTAGAAATTAGAAGATGTATCCAACTTTCCTTACTAGAATTCAAATATGTTCCCTGATGTATATCAAATATGTGTACTACTACCATCCCCATTTTCAAAAAAATTCATAGCTCTTCAAATTTCAAACCGCAAATATTGCAACCTGGCTATTTGAGTCTTTGACATATTGTACCAGTATTCACTTACACCATCCAGGTACATTTAAAAGAAAGAAAAAATAATTTATAAACATTGCACACATAAATAGGACAATATTGTATATGAAAAAAAATTAAATCATAATAACATGTATAATGCTATTTTACCTTATATTTTAAACAAAGTGTTTCAATAGTTGACTGCTTTGTATTTAGGACCACCAATTATTGAAACCGTCTCACAAAATGGATCATCATTTGGGCCACATAAACCTAAAGATTTGAAGGTAAATAAAAAAGTTCTTTTTCATTTATTTATGACTGTATTTTTATGACATGACTACCATATTAAGGGGCATTATGGTTTCAGGTATGTGGGTCCATCTGTCTGTTCTGTATCAGAATAAAAGTATAACAAAAATACTGAACTCCAAGGCAAATTCAAAAAGGGGAAGTCTATAAAAACTGACAAAATCAAACACTATCAATCAACGGAACAAGTGAAAAACAACTAAAAGGTGTGGTTTTTGTCGAGCATCGACTTTTGTCGCAAAAGCGAGACATAGCAATCCAACATTCTGTCGTCGTCGGCTGCGTCCACAAATATTCACTCTGTGATTAAAGTTTTTGAAATTTTAATAACTTTCTTAAACTATCCAGGATTTCTACCAAACTTGGACAGAAGCTTGTTTATGATCATAAGATAGTATCCAGAAGTAAATTTTGTAAAAAAAAATCCTGTTTATCCGTATTTTACTTACAAATGAACTTAGTTTTTTCTGCCAGTTAACATTACATTCAACATGTTCACTCTGTGGTTAAAGTTTTTTAAATTTTAATAACTATCTTAAACTATCCTGGATTTCTACCAAACTTGGACAGAAGCTTGGTTATGATCAAAAGCTAGTATCTAGAAGGAAATTTTACTTATAAATGGACTTAGGTTTTCTTCCAGTTAACATTACATACAGTCTGCAGTTAAAGTTTTTAAAACATTTATTAGATTCATAAACCATCCTGGATTTTTACCAAGCTTGGACAGAAGCTTCTTACAATCAAAAGATAGTATCTAGAGGAAAATTTTTAATAATTTTTTCCCCATTTTTGTTGAGCCTGCGACTGACAGCAAAAGTAGGCGAGACACTGGGTTCCGCGGAACCATTACGAATTTTTATGTAGTTTACCAATTTGTTGTCAGCTTAGGATATATGTAAAAATAAGGAGATATGGTATGATTGTCAATGATACAACCATGCACCAGAGTCCAAGGATGTAAACAATGATTAGGGCGCTGTAGGATGTAAACAGTTATTAGGACACTGTACAACTTCAACAATGAGCAAAACATATACCATATAGTAAATGGGAGAAAGGTAAAAAAAGAAAACTAACAGCATTTTTATGGTAAAAAAACGAAAAATGAAAAATAAATTAGACAGACATAAACTAACAATGTTCTTTATGACATGAAATTAAAAAAAATATATGACAAATAAGGTTTTGAAACAAGTTTCATTGTTCAATGAACATGGAATTGTGATAGTTTGAGCAGGGCATGGTTTCTTATGTTTGGACACAGATTCTTTTTTTTGCTAATTGTCTTGTGATTAGCTGATTATATGGCCTTTTTGACATTTACACTTGTTATTAGATTTATATTAAGGCAGTTTCTATAATTAGCTTAAGATAATGAAAATGTCAGAGGTCAGAAGTATGTGTATATAAATCTCTGTGTACTGATTACTTACAGTAACACCTCTCCATTTAAAAGTTTACACAATGATTTATTTGATATGCATTTAACTGTATTACATTTTATAGACAGGACCATTCATACTGAAGTCTCCACCACTGACAACATACCATCAACAACTCTGGCTTATAGCACAAATAACTACAGACTCAGAAACACGTAATGTATTTTATTTTCCTACTCATTTTGTTGCCCAACAGCGTTGTACTGCTGACAACACATATGGATTGTATCTGTCTCCTTGAGTCATCTTCTGGATTGTGGTCCTTGTCACATTTTACGCTTATCAACAGTATATTGAAAACAGCTTGACATAATTCAATTAAGCTTGCACGTTTTCTTCTACAGGACATGAAGTTGTGCACCTGCAATTTTAATTTTTCATCTGAGGGATTTAAGGGGTTTCCCATACCAAAACATTGAATTAGCCACATTTCTGCTAATTTAACTTTGATAATCTGCAACTCCCTATAAAAAGTAACTCACATCTTACTGAGAAGACTCATGTTTTTTTTATGTTGCATTGTAGTAATTAAAATACTGTCTGTATGCATTCACACATCTACACATCTATACTTCTATACTTATATTAGTGATGAAAAAGATAAAACACTTGACAAGTTATTTTTACACATGACAAAAATGAGACTTGAACCTTCACCTTAGTGATGATGAGCTGCCAAGGTCTGCACAAGCAAATAAAAACAAGCTATTTCGACCATATTTAAATCTTGGACTGGATTTTTTTTCAAGAACAAAGTAAACACTTGTGCTATCTAATAGCCATATAATAATAGTTGTTTTGATAATGTTATAAAGACTTAAAAACATTTGTATGATAATTATATTTTTCAGACTCCAAGTTTGAGGAGAAGTTTACAGTGAGTGTAGAGATACGTGGTATGAAAGCTGATGATGAAGGGGTCATACAGGCTGATAATCCTCAATTAAGTCCAAAGATTCATAACAGAACAAGAATTCTCAAGTGTTCAAAGGTAGTTTACAGTGCATATATAAAAATTTGATCTTAATACAGTCACTTAAATTACCTTTATTATAAAAAAAAAATATGCAAGTAATCGTTTGTTATCATGAAAACAATTGTAGATAGAGAAAATGTGACAAGAAACTAATGTTATAATGTCAGGATTACCTATGTAACAGTTCTACCATATTATCAGATATCTTCTTGCAGGACTTAGTGCTCAAAATTGATGTCTACTCATTGGTGTTATTGCTCTTAAATGATAAAGTTTCTGCCAATTTTACATTATTTTGTGTACTTTTTGGAAAATAGATAGAAATTGTGGAAAGCAAAAATTGAAAGCAAAATAACTGAAAGCCATTAGTTGACTCATCATAGGAGTTATTGCCCTTGAATAAAGATTTTTTATAATTTTAATGTTTTTACCAATTTATTTCATATCTGGTTAAGGAATATATTCCTGAATTTAGATAATCATATAGGACATATAACATAATCCCTTTAGCATAACAGCTTCTCACAGTGAAAAAAACCCATTGTCACACTCTGTGTGGAATTCATTACTTTGCAAAAAAATAAAAACTCAATTTTTCAGTTTTACATCGTTATTGTGTGGTCTTCTGCAATTTAAAAAGCAATTATGGTTAAGTTCTTTGATATCTATAAATAACAAAACGTCCAATCACAGAACAGAGTAATGTTTTGTTTACAAATAATAACCAAGGACCAAAGATTACAATACTTCAGATTTTCAAACTGACTGGGAGATTTAATGAGACTTGAAAGAGAATTGCCTGGTCCCATGTGGCAGTAACAAAATGTCCTTGTTATTTTGCCTTTTTGAATCCTTCTTCTTACTTAAATTCTTTTTTGGTTATTCCAAATTAAAGATGTTTTTGTGATGTAATTACAGCTGAGGGCTGTTCCATTTAAACATACATGGTACCCAGGGAAGGCAATTTAAAAATGGGGTAACCACCTATAGAGGCAAATTAAAATTTCACTTACATTTCCACTATGCAAAAACAAAGATGAAACCAACCCATAGCTGAGATTTGGAAGTACCTTCCCTGGATCCCATGTAGGTTTTTATGGAACAGCCCTAAGATTATTGTTACACATATTTGTAAACCCACTAGCATGAGCCTTGATACATTCAGTCTTCTTATTCAGATCCAATCTGGATGTGTTATCCATTAATGTAATTTTTTTTATATAATTTCAGCAATGTGATAACCTGATATTATTACATCTTGGATACTTAGATTACAACAACTATATAATAACAATCCATTTCTACGGATTACAGAACACTAAGTTTGATTTTAAAGACATTGTATTTTATGTAAGTATTTTGTCAATGATTGTAGTATTTATAATTGGAGAATACTACAAATTCATTGCTGATTTTCTGTACTAGATTTTGTTGATTTCACTGGAAGAAATAAGGACGGTTCCAAAGATAAATCTGGGATGGGGTCGAAAGGCGCTTCTTATTTAACCCCATCATACATGAAATTTTACTTGATTTGTTCCTCTAATTGTTCAGGCTATCTTTCTAAAATAATCATTACCCATCAAATTTTGATATAAGTGCCATCTGATCCCAATCAATTTTGTAAAAGCCTTAAGTTGTCATTATTTCCTAAGTTCAGAACAAATATTAAAAACTACAAACAACCTTTTTTACAAACCATATAATTGATGGTGTCATTATACTATAGTGTTTGTTTACTGTTGATTAATTTTCAGAAGATGTGGAGAACTATCATTTACAGTTTTGTTTTTCAGTTTAAGAGTTATAACTCTTCATTCACACAGATTGAGATCTGGATCCGATTTGTGTTTTTATTCATGACATTTGTAGCAACAGTAAGTATTGTTATGTTATTGTCAATAAACAAATAAATTTTAAAAACAAAAAGAGAGGTAAAAGATACCATGGGCCTATCAAATACCATAAGTTAAAATTAAAACAACACCATGGCCAAGAAAAAAAAGACAAAAAGACAAGCAACATTCCAAAACAGATAAGCATACTAGTTTGTAAAATCTCATTAGTAATAAATAAATGTTTTATCTTTTCTCTTTTTCTAAAAAGAGCAATTAGTTTTGATTAAACAGGAAAAGTGTCATTATTTCAAATTTTCCAGATGCAGTAACACTTTCAGAAGATGTTTTGTAATAAAGAATTTGAAATTAAATCTTAATTGTGTCTATTTTTCTGTCATCATATTGATACCTTATCACTGCTTTTGAATTGCAAGATGAATCGCTGTTATATCTTGTCTTTTTCTGGTTTAATTGCCAAAATCTGAACTTTTTGCTAATAAATGATAACACTTCTATGTAAATATATTTAAAACCATATTGCGTTCTGTAGTTTTACAACATACTGACTTATATGTTTACGTCTAAAAAAATCCTGTGCTTTTATTGAATGCAAGTTATATTTGCTTGTTCATGTGATACAAAAACCAATCTCAAAGCTTTTTCTTTCGTAGCAGTTATACTTAATATGTGAATTATAACATGAAGAGACTATTTTCTTATTTCTCTGACACCTGTATTTCTATAAATGCTTTGTTGTATTTCAGTTGAAATTTCTTTACCTTTTCAGTGTGTGTTTGGTCATTCTTTGAGGAAGTTTACTATACGAGATTGGTCAATAGAACAAAGATGGATGTCTTTACTACTACCTCTACTGTTATTGTACAATGGTAAGCTGTTTGTTATACCTATGTTCCCAAGGAGGGGGAAACTGGTTTTTCTCCTTCTATGTGTCTGTCTGTAATATATTTCTATAGCAGCAACTACAAGTAATAGTAATGTAAAAAAACTCAAATCTTTTTATTTTCTAGATGTGATACATAAAAGTTGAACATGAAAAGACTATTTTATCATTAGCTGTATTTCTACAAATGCCTATTTTGTGTTACAGATGATATATTTTACCTTTCTTTATATATGGCACCAAGAATGTCCAAGATTCATCTGGTTATGCCATACCATTTAGTATGCTAAAGTTCTTTAATTTTGTTCTCCTGTTTGCAGATAATTTAAATCTTTAAAATGTCATGCACATTTTTCTTAGCAACTACAAGTCAAAGCTTTATGTCCCCTATGGTTGCCCAGGAGGACATGGTAATGGTCTGTGTCCATCCGTCCATCTGAACAATATCAATACTCAGAGAACATTTGACAGAGAGCTTGTATACTTGGTAGAATTATTTGTCTTCATATTCTCTTAACCATACTACACTATAATTTTTATTTGACAATATTAACAGGAGTTATGGGACTTTGACCATTTTAAAAATATTTTAACAATGACACTTTGTGAACACAACTCCTCTGAAACTATTTAATAGAAAACCTTTATACTTGGTAGAATTCTTTGCCATTTTGTGTAGGTAACCATGTTGTACTGCCATTTTGATTCAATGATTTTTACAGGTGTTATGGGACTTCAACCATTTTTTGGGAGTATTGAAACAATGAAACCTTGAAAACAGAATTGCTCTGATGCCATTCATCAGAAAGATCTCATATTTTCGACTAACATACCTCAATGACACCTTGTATACTCAACTCCCCTGAGACCACTTGACAGAAAGCTCTCATACTTTTCAGGATTGTTTGCCATCATTTGCATTTGACCATATTGTACAGTTTTTTGATTTTACCAATCTTGAGGGAGTTATGGGACTTTGACTATTTTTTTTATTATTGTACCACAGTGACACCATGTACTGCCTTTTGAATAAAAGGAACAAATTAAAAAGCTTGCAATACACTTTATAAATGTAAACAATGTTCCTGTTGTACATTTCTTTCACAGCCGCAGGGGTTATTTTGATATGACCAAGCAATCTTGCTAATAAATGACACTGCTTCATCTAGTAATGCCATGACATGTGACATGCTTTAAGTTTCTTTGATGTTCTACTCCTTGTTCATAAAGCTTATATCTTTAAAAAGAGGGGGACATGATATCAAGGAGGCAATCAAACACAATAAGTTCAATAAAAATAGACAACCCCATGGCCTTAAAGACAAACAATAGTCTATGAAACGCTGCACAGAAAACTTCAGATTGAGCAACTCCACCCCATCAAAACTGAGGATAAAATCTGGTGCCCCAAAAGGGTGAGTCATTCTTGCTCCACTAGTTGCACCTGTCCTGTTACTCATTGTAAGTAACAATCTGTAATCGGTTACATTTAGTTTAGGTCACAATGGAGAAGAGGATGCACATTTATATCATGCACATTTGTGAAATTTTTGTCACATTTTTCTCTGCATCTATAAGTAATAGATTCTTGATATATGGCACCAAGATACATTTGGTTGTGCCAGACTGTTTGTAAAGTTGACAGATCTTTTGATATTCTACTTCCTGTTTGCAATAGACAATTTTTTAAAATTTCTTGCACATATATCAATATTGTCACATTTAGTCAACAACATTGAGCTGGGGTATACTTAATGAGCAATATCTCACATTACATCTGGTTTCATTTTTTGGGGCTCTTCACCTTTACTTTCATTTCATACTTTATGGCAGTAAATTTATTGGTTGAAAAAGCTAAAGTGCATGATTTACTGCAAGTAACTGAAACACTCTTTAACATACATTAATACTTGTTTGTCAGAAATACTGGGCTTCATATAAAAGAATAGAATACCGGTAATATATATTTATTTGGCTAAATACTTAAAACAATTTTTATATTTGAAATAACATACTTATAATAAACATATACAATTTAGTATTGAAATAATTAAAAAAAAAGTACCTGTACAATGGTTGTCCACAACATTTAGATATCCGGTATATAGACTACTGATATATATAAAGTGACGGGGGGATAAAAATTTAAGATTTAAAGACAATTCACTTTAACATGAAGAGTGAACAAAATTCAGAATTCAGGGAAGTGTACACTAATATCTAATGATCAGCCAAATGGAAATAACTTGTTTTTAGGCAGTTAAGCTGCCTTATGCGAGCACCCTAGATTTGTGTTCTACCCAATAAATGCTGAAATACGTGCAATTTTTATTATCTAGCTGGCTATTATGTTATTTATAACTAATTGGACATTTTTTTAATACTTTTATTTCTGGAATACAAAAAATATGACCAGAAAAACCTTAAATGATCGTCGAACTACCCAAAACTTTTGAAGTTGCACATAGGAAGTAGTGCTTAATAGAAATCCGTACGTAGTTTATTATCCCCTGTGCTTTTGGCTACGATGTCAAAGAACAATTGTATGAAATATTTCATCGCCGAAAATCGGTAATTACAAGTCGTTTATATTTCCAAAATGGCAAAATGCGCAGGAATATTGTTCATGTACAACAAATCTCTATGATAAAGGAAATAAAGTTATATAAGTGGGCGGTAATTTTTAACTTATCTTGCCAAATAAGGTTGTTGTTATTTTATGAATGAAACGAGGTCATGAAACAGATGCGGAAATCGACGTTGATGGGATGTTTATAAGTAATGTGGACAACTCGTCCCCGAGACAAGTCGGACCGAATCCACTCAAACCGTCTAAGAAGACAACTTTGACCGTTTGTCAGATTTACACAGGGTTTCATAAAATATTAGACTAACATGTCTAGCGGAGAAATTTATCTTTTGTTTGTGCATTGGGGTCTATTTAGGGGTATTTGGAGGGGCCTGAAGAAGGGAGGGGTTTACTATAGATCCCTATGGGATTTTATTTTTTTTTAATTTTCAAATGACTATTTCTCAAAAACAGTAAGTGATAGACACATGCAGTCTTCAGTAATGAGAACAGGACAATAAAAAAAAATCAACCAAAATATAGGGTTAGTCCCTGGGGTCATCCCAACCCCCTTCAATTTGAAAATGTACTTTTATCTTGTAAACCGTCGCGATCCCCACCCCTAAACAATATATAGACTTGTATGGGACAATAAAAGAAATCAAATGAAAATAATTTTGGGGAGTCCCCGTTGTCATCCCACCCCCTCCTGTTTGAGAACTTGGAAATGGTCGAGATCCCCATCCCTCAACCATATATATTCATTAATGGGACAATAAAAAAAATCAAATGAAAATTAGGGGGAGTCCCTGGGGTCACCCCACCCCCACCTGTTTGAGAACTTGTAAATGGTGGAGATCCCCACCTCTAAACCATATATATTCATGTATGGGACAATATAACAAATCAAAAGAAATATATGGGGAGTCCCTGGGGTCACCCCAATCCCTCCTGTTTGAGAACTTGGAAATGGTTGAGATCCCCACCCCTAAACCATATACATTCATGTACGGGACAATAAAACAAATCAAATGAAATATATGGGGAGTTCCTCGGGTCACCCCACCCCTCCTGTTTGAGAACTTGTAAACAGTCAAGATCCCCACCCCTAAACCATATATATTCATGTATGGGACAATATAACAAATCAAATGAAATATATGGGGAGTTCCTCGGGTCACCCCACCCTCCTGTTTGAGAACTTGGAAATGGTCGAGATCCCCGCCCCTACACCATATATATTCATGTATGGGACAATAAAACAAATCAAATGAAATATAGGGGGAGTCCATGGGGACACCCCACCCCCTCTTGTTTGAGAACTTGTAAACAGTCAAGATCCCCACCCCTAAACCGTATATTTTCATGTATGGGACAATTTAACAAATCAAATGAAATATTTGGGGAATCCCTGGGGTCACCCCACCCCTCCTGTTTGAGAACTTGGAAATGGTCAAGATCCCCACCCCTAAACCATATGTATTCATGTATGGGACAATATAACAAATCAAATGAAATATAGGGGGAGTCCCTGGGGTCACCCCACCCTCTCCTGTTTGAGAACTTGTAAACGGTCGAGATACCCACACCTAAACCATATTTATTCCTGTTCATCATTTCAAAAAGATTTGAATGACATACAGGAACAATCTCCTATGTGTCACATATGCATATCACTTTACTAGACCAAACCAATATGAACTGAACTTTGCCCAATGTCAGGAGACCATGGGAATGACGAATTATGAGGGCTTTGTTTGGGAGACTTCGTAACGGCATCCTGTTACAATTATTTCTTGTTTATTATAAAATTTTATTGATGCAAAAAATGAGTGTAGGTTAATTGAATTTACTTTAGTTATTTATTAAATTATTTCTGGGCCAATAATAATTTTCATTTATGGCTCATGTTAAAGAAAACATATAAATCTTTCAAGCAGTGTAAAGCCCGAGAATGTTTGACCAACTGTTTTATAATCACCTGTCATTTTATTCCAAACTTGGTATGGAGTAACATCATGCACTTGGGGGTGAAGATGGGGGTCATTTACATTGATATATGAGTTGCTTTGAAAACCTTGATGAAATATTAATTAATTTGCCTTAATAATCAATTCATTTAATGAACATAAATGTACAATATACGAATGTTTAATGTTTGTTCTTTCAAATCTTAAAAAAAATTGAAGCAACACTGCCACAGTTTTCATAATTACGTTTGCCTTGGTTTTTGGTTAACTGCATACAGCGCTTACAGTGCTTTGATTTTTTAATTCCATAACATAATTACTTTATATTTTTTTGATAAAAACAAACCAGTTACTGGGTTTGATATCAGGGGTACAGAACACCTAAGGGAGTTAACTCTTTAAAAATCAGCTAAACATTTTAATCGCATACAATTAGAAAAGAGAAGTCAAGCTTCTCAATGGTCAAAATTAGTTTTTGTCTAATTTCTATGAATCCAATGAAATTATTCCTGTAAATTGTGTTGTTCAAATTTCTTGAAATTGTTATATTTTTGTCAACAGGGCAAAAGTAAATATTTTGTCATAATTTTATGAAATCTATTTTAGTCAAAGTGTTGGGTGCCCCATTAAAGAATGAAATAATATATATTTATATATCAGAATACATAAAAGAATTAACATACAAGACATTACATACATAAAAAAAAACAAATACAAGTACTATTGAAATTATTGCAATAAAAAATACATACAAGTATAACAACTGACCACAACTGTTTAATATCTGCCAAACAAGCCTGCCAAACAAACCAATGATTTAGCTATTGAACCAAGAGATACAACACTCTCTTGAAAGTCCAACTTCAAGCAGGATTGTTGATTGATAACTATAAATAATTTTAACGTAATGATGAGAAAATAATTCACTTCAAAATACAGAGTTAAGGGTATTCCGGCAAGATTTAACTGTCAGAAATCAAATGATAGTCCAAAGGGAAATAAGTAAAACAATTTTTTTAAATTCCTTATCATTATGATTATTTTTTTTTGCGAGAAATGTTCGATGCTTTTCCTTGTTGTATTTGAAATGTTTTATTTTTCAGATCCAATATTTCCACTGACATTCTAGTAAACAGTTGGGTACCTGGAATGTTTGATGCCTTTCTTTGTTGTATTTGAAATGTTTTATTTTTTAGATCCAATATTTCCGCTGACATTCCTAGTAAACAGTTGGGTACCTGGAATGTTTGATGCCTTTCTTTGTTGTATTTGAAATGTTTTATTTTTCAGATCCAATATTTCCACTGACATTCCTAGTAAACAGTTGGGTACCTGGAATGTTTGATGCCTTTCTTTGTTGTATTTGAAATGTTTTATTTTTCAGATCCAATATTTCCACTGACATTCCTAGTAAACAGTTGGGTACCTGGAATGTTTGATGCCTTTCTTTGTTGTATTTGAAATGTTTTATTTTTTAGATCCAATGTTTCCGCTGACATCCCTAGTAAACAGTTGGGTACCAGGAATGTTTGAAGCCTTTCTTTGTTGTATTTGAAATGTTTTTTTTTTCAGATCCAATATTTCAACTGACATTCCTAGTAAACAGTTGGGTACCAGGAATGTTTGGTGCCTTTCTTTGTTGTATTTGAAATGTTTTTTTTTAGATCCAATATTTCCGCTGACATTCCTAGTTAACAGTTGGGTACCAGGAATGTTTGATGCCTTGTTCCAAGCCTCTTTCCTATGTGGTCTGTTATTATTCTGGTTGTGTATATATCATGGTGTAAGACAGGTAATATTATATTGATATATTTATATATATACTTTATGACATCGGACAACAGGTTGATGATTTTATTGTATTGTGATGTCAAGAGATTATCGGTGGAGAACATTTAAAAAAAGTAGTCAATATTACTTAGGCCAGACTTTTTTCATTATCTGTTTAACGAGATCGGCCGACTCCAATTTCCTGATTTCAGAATAAAAATAAAAGAAATGGTTTACGATACCCGCTTTCGCCATCGGTAATATTTAATTTTTACCAAGTCGATGAAACAGCAATTTCAAAGTAAAGAAATTAAAGGCATAAATGATTAATGACTTCAAAAAAGAGGTTAAAGCATTGATTTTTTAAGCTGGTGGCATGTTTTTTCTTAAAAACAATTTGTTTAAAACCACTTTCGCCGGTACTTGTTACACGAGAGAGTACATCAAATCATTCTAACTTTCGGCTAAATAAGTTATTACTTCATTTGAACTTGATGAAATTAGCCTGAAGTAAATTTGTAATCCATGTATTGCATTAAAAACGTCATATTCCTTTCCAAAAAGCGTATCAAACATCGTTTATTTTTGTAAAGTTTTCTCTGACATTTAAATTATTGGGTATATTTTTGAAGAACTACGGATCGGAGTCAGGATTTCATCGTTAGCGGACCCGCTATGACCGAAATCCGGATTCTTGCGATAATGACTACGGACGCATGATGGCACTGCTGACAGACAAAAATTGATCCCAAAAGGAAAAATTACGCATTCCACACGCATTAACGTACTTTTGGTTAGATATTTTTGATTAATGTTTATATTTCCTTTTTAATGCATTGTTTCAATTTATAAGTTAATGTTGCTCAACCATGTCTATTACACTAATATAAAATAAAATAATTATATTATTTCCAAGCTTAACGGTTAAATGAATATATCTTTTTAATGAAAAATAATTAATTTCATGAACATGATAACAGAGTAGTTTTTTTAATTGAATTGTATATACAGTATAAACATGTAACATACACTAAGAGGTTCCTGACTGGTAATATACATATATATAGTGTATATGCAGGGAGGTTGATATATTTGCCTGGTGCATATGCATGGATCTAAATTAGAGGACATTCAGAATCAAAAGATATTTTTTATGTTCATATTAATAGAAGGGTTAATATACTGGTCTGTTTTCATTTCATTGTTCTTGTATTTTGATAAATTCTTAAAAAAAAAAAAAAAAAAAAAGTCACTTATAATGGTTTTATTTTTATTTTTAGTGTCGAATGGACCAACTTGGCACTTTTATTTTTTTGTTATTTCGTCCTCTCGACCCTAATTTTTAACAAATTTTCTCGTTAAACAGATAAAAAAAAAAAGTCTGGCCTTAAGAAATTGTAAAACAAACTGACTTATTAAAAATTCTATTCTACTTACTCTCCTTACATTACAGAATTGAGAAATTACATTGCAGTGTTCTGAAGTGTTTAAACAGTATTTGCATAAAACACTGACATATGATTCAAGTAATATATTTCATATTCTTGGTAAAAATAAAACTGCTGTCTTGTTAGAACTCTTTAAAAGTGGAGTATAACATAATGAATAATTTATGTAACTTCAGGCCAATAGTCAGTTTATAGACTGTTCGGTCATCTCCACAAAATTATATAGACTTCAGTATTGCCTTTGTCCTTGTACTGTTTTTGAAGATGACTACCAGCTCGCAGCACAGACAGGAATGTGGTTGTGCATTTATACACACCACTCAACCAAACAGACAAGCTCTAATCCTGGGTCTTACCTTAGAAACAAAAGCCCCAGGTAAATTTTTACACCCCAATTGACCTTGGGTTATGAATAAAACAGTAAAATATAAATCATTAAAATGAGACAATGTCCCATCTGATAAATGTAAATGAATCATATGATAGCCAAAAGTTATTATGTAGCATATGATTAAAGTTTGCAAGTAAAGTTAACCAAAAGCTAATTCAATACATGAATACAGATTTATCAGTTTCTTCTGTATTATTAAACTTGTGTATTAAAGGGAAACTTCGCAAAAAAATGAAAAATTGATATTATGTTCATTCTGTATAAAAAAGCACAAATTCATAAATATTAAAGTTTTATTCTGCTATATAAGAGATCACCATCGATTTTAAATTTAGAGTATCAATTCTCTGCATGCGGCCATTTTGACATCTTCTCGGTTTAGAAACCACGATATATCTATAAACCACAAAGGACCAAAACCAGCAGTAACCTAACGTAGTCGTAATTGCGTGTCGATATCTTGTCAAGCGTACAGTTGTTTTATCCGACAAGAAAAGCATAAACAGTTTCCCGGGTAACAAAAATGATTATAATAGACATGGTTGTGCAACCTTTCCTAACTAACATGATACGGAAAATGTAATTATTTTTTTTTAAATAACTATGGTCTGTCGTATTTAAACTTGTTTTTTTTACCAAGGATTTGTATTTGTTACTATACAAATCCTTGTTTTTACTAAGTTTTGAAACAAGAAATTTATATGGGAATTAGTTAAAAAGTCAAAGTCAAAGTCATAAATAAGTGTCCCGTGTATAATTGTTTTCGAAAATCTAATTTGTTCATAATTTTTTTATGTAATAAACTTTTATGTAATAAACCAAGTGTTGAAGACCGTACTTTGACCTATAATGGTTTACTTTTACAAATTGACAATTTGTGACTTGGATGGAGAGTTGTCTCATTAGCACTCATACCACATTTTCTTATATCTAATTATTTAAATAAATTCAGACCTTCCCTTATCTGATCACCAGCATGGCTAAAGGAATTATTCCCAGAGGTATTGTGAGGTGACACGTCCAGGTATTCATGCGATTTCCTGTCAGACTTAAAAACTCTTATTACACAATTACATAAAGCAAGTTCATGCATCCCTTCATTTCTAAGGGTATTGATCAGTGTACACGGCCAATAACTTGTAACTTTCCATTTTGAAACTATCAGGTGTAATATACATCTTTGTCTTGCGTGTCCGATAGTGATATACTAGTCATTACTAAACACATACGCTTGTTTATAAATAACATTTCTGGTGTAAAGAATGATGTTTATGAAAATCTAAATAATTCCAAAAAAAGATTTGATAAAATTTTTCCAAGGGTAAATTGTGGAAATGTAAGTATATACTCGTTGTCAATAATGATGGACATTTTGAAACATACAAATATTGATTTAACAAAAATGTACGCACTAAGTCTTGTCGATCATTGGTTAATACGCCTAGATAGAAAGTTACGGAACTATAGATAGTCGCAATTAAAAATATATACATGTTTTTGAATATAACAGAGAAACATCCAGAACCAATTTGATTTAAATACAGTTGATATCTTACTTGCTTTGGTTCATCGAAGTTATGGACATAGTAAAATCACAGATTTATATTTCATTTAGATTGTTCTCGAACAGTTAAAGAAATTCGTCATCACCACAATTGATGAGTATAATGTATAATGATGTGAACATGGTTCTAAAAGTACATTATGCTAACTTTCCTGTTCCGACATGCATGTAATATATATGCCACTTGACGTACACTAATGATCCCCAAAAAAATGTATTTGAAGAAATAAAGAAACTTCACTCCGGATAGACTGATAGTATTTGTATTAACGTCTGATTAGCTAGATGGTTGATTAATTTATTTAGTTGGCTTGTGGGGGGAATAAACTATTCCCAAATATTGCACTTATGCATAAAATATTAAATGAGAGTAATATGAGAGAAAATATAAATACGAAAAGTCGCATATCTGGTAAAAGAAAGTCTCACTGGCAACTATAGAATTTCACGTACAATTGTCATTCTTAATCGAAATAACGGACAGTCATTAAAATACATGCATGTACACTTTGACAAAAAGAGGTGCCGCAGTTGCATATTATTCATCATAAATCTATTTCAAGTATATACTTTCCTGTCATTCTTATAAGTTAACGCAGAGACATGTAACTATACATCTCTAGTTAACGGCAATCAACCATATAAATATTTGAATCTGATGTGACTTACCGTTCATCTCTTTCTTTTTTCTTCTTTTTTTTTTTTTTTATTTGGGCAGGTACACAAACATTGTAATGTTAGATTTACTGTTCCCAGGTTGGGAGGGGGGCGGTGGTTGGAGGTAAAGTATATTGAAAGTTACAAAATAAGAACGTTGTATTTATGAATTTACATGAATAATTCTGATCTTGGACGTAGGTTTCTTTTTTTTTTAGTTCAGTGATTTAAATTGAAAGAAAAAAATCTAGTCAGAATTTAAATCGTACCGGCAATTTCCACCTAAGACTCCTCTAAAATCATGAATGGTCACGCTTCACAATCATCAGAATTTTCTTTGCATTGGTACATTCTGTATCGGTAGTGAATTACCTTGACATTTCCGGGTATAACAGAGCTACTTGTATATTACCTGTATGTGGTTAGGTGACGTCCCATGAGGTCTTACGTATACAGGTTCACATTGGTTTCTGATAACAAGGTTTTATGACATTCACACATCTGCATGTTCTGTATACCAAATTCTTATCTTATTTTCAGACCAAACGAGGATGTGACTATTTTCCAGGAAAAATATGGAGTATCAAAGTATCAAATTAATTACGGGATTTTTTTCTTTCTTCGTATCAAATCACAGAAATTTAAAGAATATACTGCTTGTCCGCTTGAGGTGTATTCTTGTCAGTTAAGACTGACATATATGTATCTGGTATAGAGTGGGTTTATGAATGAATGATAAGTCTTTCAAAGGTACAAGATATAAAGCACATTGAAAATTGATTCCGCCGGTCTGTCTCCATTCAAAAAAGGAAAGTTGACGTTATATTGATTCTGACATTTTTTTTAAACATCGTTGGTCAAATAGCTAAAGTATGTATACGTTGTGAGATTTTAAATATTTTAATAAGGGCATTCCCGAATAGGTAAATGTAGATCGCTGTGGACGGACCAAGCTATATTAATCATGTAACCACGATAATTTTCGCTAAACATTGAAATATTCAAGCTTAATACCCATGATAATTTGAAAAAAGTAAGTACAGTGTTTGGTTTATACGCTCGTTTTCGTGGGCCATTTTTATTTATAAAATTATTTAATTGAAAGTAATACAGAATTTCGATGTTACAACAAAATACTCACCTATCTATTATAAAATTAAGCTTACGCAAAATATAAAAGATATATATAACGGCGATTCAGGTATTTTGCCACCATATTCCTCCCCAAATAATTAATGTTTTTATCATTCATACGAAATGTTGTTCAAACCTGTAACGGTGAACCGTGTTGGCTAAAATTCACTGAGTGAAGATCAAAAGAATAGAATTACAGAATGCTAATCTTTTAATTACCTTGAATTTAACCACGCATTCAACAGGTAGTCACTAAGTGTCACAGTACAATACACATTGTATTTACACAGTACTAGTGTGAAATGTTTGATAGACTGAAGTAAAAGCCTTCAGGTGAGAATACAAACATGCATTTGTAAAACAATATCAGTTATATATGTTTGTTCAAAATATCCGTCGGAAAAAAATTCATATAAAAATATATTCTATTGTATGATTTACTTTTATTACTATAATCATATCAGAAATCCTTTAAATATAAATCGTACATTTTAATTTTGAAAGTTGCACGGCTGATCACTTTACTTTCTCAATTATTAGTTGGTTAATAGCTACACCAAAAGTCGTCGATGCGCTTTAAATCGCGTTATTAGATGATTAACGAACAAGACTTACAATGAGATTTATTCACTCCCGGCATGCAAAAAGACTTAAACTACGTCACATAAGTCAGGAAGTTCGAATAAATTAAATTATTAATTCCCAATTTTCTTCTTTATTAGTGTTCATATCCAGATAAAACTTGGTGAATATGTTTTTTATTGTATTATGAACATAATAAGATGAAAAGTAAAAAATCGCGAATTTTCCCTTTAATTGTTTTTCAGACTGACAGAAGATTTGTGAAGTTCTACATACCAAAATTACTAATAGTAGGACTGATCTGGATTTCTGCAGTAACTTTGTCTTCCTGGCAGGAGTATAATGAGATTCAAGATCCTACATATTATTACAGACTGGATACTACTAATTTTATGGTATGTAATTATTACAAACTGATTACTGCTTTAAGTGTTGATAACTGCTCAACATTCAATATCAAAGGCAAATAAATAGCTGTCATAGAAATTACATGAGGTTTTTAAATAAAGATATGTTACTTTGCTTATGAATAGAGCAATACTGCTGCCATAGGTGTCTGAATGTTTCATTTTAGTGTAATTTAATGGAAAATAGTTGAGACTAGTTAAAACACTATTATAGTAGAAGGTACTTTGTAAAGTACTGACCAATTTTAAAGACTAATTTGCAGATAAACTACAAATAATTGCAGGTGGCTTTGGAAAGGACCCTAAAAATTTCATCATAAAAGAAAAGTTATTTATAATCAGCTTGATTGATTGATTGTTGTTTGGTTAATGTCCAGGGACAAATATTTTATGCATATTCAGGAATGAATTTAAAATTGGAGAAAATTCATTGACATTTAAAACTCTGTTTTTGTGCATATTAAAGGTGCTGGACCAAAAACATCAAAAATAGTCATGGGAGAGGAACTTAGATGTTTTCCATTACTTAAATATGATTGAATATTGGAATTAGACACAAAAACATTAACCATTAAACAGGAAATAATGTTAATACAATAAGAAAAAAGCAACTTTTGAAAAATCACTTCATATATCTGCTGCAAATACATGATTAAATAGATATACATGTAAGAAGACTAGTTGTGTTAACAGATTATTCATATTTTTTAATCTTGAAAATTATTTTTAAAACTTTAAAATCAAAATGAAATAGAAAGTAATATTATAAGTATGGTTAACAGCTGTTTGAAAAAAAAAAATTGCAGCATAAAGAAGTTAGTAATGACTAAAAACTTGGTAGTAAACTACAGACATTTTGAAGATTTCAATATATTCATTAGTTTGAATCATAAAAGGATTTAGGGAAGAAGACAAGTGGAAATCATTTTCAAATTTTGACACGGTGATCTTAAATGTTTGAAAGGGGTAGATGTTTAAATTTGGAAATTAAAGACAAAAAGATGGAACCTCTATAAAATATGTTTTTGCAAAAAGATATGTTTTTATGAAAAAAGTGTACCGGGTAAATAAATATATGAATTATGTAAAAATTGCACTAAATTTGGTATCAAAATTTATAAAATTCTGTGATCCATTACAAAACCAAACACATTTCTAGATATTAATAGGTTAATTTTGCAGTACACTCCTTCTTTGAATTTTGAAATCTATTAAATCCAAATATTGAAAAAAAAGGCAGGACAGGAGTTTTGAGTAAAATAAAAAGGCAGGATGAGCAACTTTGCAAAAATAAAAAGGCAGGATGACAATTTATGTAAAAAAAGTCAGGATAAACTAATAAAAAAAAAGGCAGGACAGAGATTACAACTAAAATAAGATGCAGGACAAAATTTTTCATCCTAGCCCCCCATAGAAATCAAATGGTAGCTCCCTTACTGAAAAAAGCAAAGTGACAGATGAGAAGTCTGCTTCTTTACCCTTGTCACTTTAACCAAGGTGATCCCTGGTTCTTATATCTGTATTGGTACCATGCTTACAGATGAAAATAACACTTTATAGATTTAGTGTGTCTTGAGACCTTCTCTGGAGTTAAAAAGTCTGATTAAACTTGTGAAGGTATAGAAAAGGTAATTGTTGGACCTTATCTCACTCAATATTTTTTTTGACTCACTACAACTAGTAGGTAAGCAGTTAAATTTTAAATCCTGAGAATACTGAAGATGGTATACTTTTTACCCATGAATGATATAAAGAATTCTTTGCTGGTTGAACAAATTTAATCCAGGCCTCTTGTCCCTTTGTCATTTTGACAATTACATTCATAGATCCTGTCAAAGCACCACCAATTGTATCATAGTCTACTACATTACTAGCTATTGGTGTTCCATCAACTACAAGAGCACTGGTAAAATCGTAATGACCATTAGACAGAGTAGTCCAGGAGAATGTGTATATCCCATCTTCTTCACATGTAAACTTCCCTGTTGTACCATCATAAGCACTACCTATGTTAAGTGGTACAACATCAAATATAACTATTGTGTTTTCTTTTAAATTTGACAGGGTAGAAGACAAATGGGAGAAAAATGCATACTTCAATCTATCCTTTTGTTCAAATTTCTGTTTGAATTCTTCAATTTTTACCTCAAAGCTTGCCATACTTTTGTCCTTGTTGTCTTGAAATAATGTATACATTTCTTCACTTTTGTTTTGTATTAGCTGTTTCATCTGATCTGTTTTTGTTTTTTGTCTTTCCTCAGCATTGTTAAACCTGACTGTTATTTCTCTATTTTTCTTTTCAGACATTGTCATAATTTCTGCATTCATCTTTTCTGTTTTGTTTTCTATCATTTGTTTCATCAGATTTTCCATTGCTGTCTTTACACCCTTTTCAATCTCCTGTTCGATGTATGCCTTTAAATGTTTATTCATTTTAGACACATCCAAGTCAGCTTTCAAAGAAGCTTTCATATTGTCCATTATTGGCATAGATATAACACTACCACATTGTTCTCCATCACAGGAGTCTGATTCAGATAAGGACAACAAAGTGTCCACTAGAATAACATGAATGATTAAAGTCACCAATAAGCCTTTCATTCTGAGCTGTTTCAATATACTTCTGACTGGATATTTAAAAAATACTACTGACTTGATTAATTAAATAAAAGTTACACCCAGCTGTACTAATCACTTAAAATTTATTTTTAAGTATAAAATTTTTGCTTATTGCAAAGTAGATGCTTTATATATCAGCTGAAACTAAGTCCTTTTCCATGTGACCTTAAAGTATTTTTTTTTGTATAACACTTCCACAAGATTTTTGAGAATTTTCATCTGTTTTCTTTATAATCTACTTCATATAATTGTTAATGGGCCCTTTAGTATATTTATAATTTCGATCCAACGAGAAACTTATAAGCATTTATTTAAGGACATCAACTTACAAAATAATTTTGGTATCAGTGTGTAAAGGAAGCCAACACTTTAAGGAATGGTAACCACATGACAATTTATACTATATGACCAGGATAAAGTGAAGCGCATGATGAAGTGACTGGTACACAATCTTGTTTTCTGTAGTACTAATCAAGTTCTTTGTTGTATACATATAAAGGGTCACTAAACATTTGATTTATCACCATAGACTTGAGATTTAAATTCTCTGATTTATCAAAGAAAAGAGGGTCAATAGTATGTTTATTGTAGGGATTTTTTTGCTAAAATGAATTGTCACCATAGCATGATTCATTTAAAGAAATTAATATTGCAATTTTCACTCAATCCAAACTTCAATGTCATATTTTGCTATTCTATAGCAAAAAGAGAAGACAAATGTATTTCCTTATCTGATGACATTTAGTGTCTATAAGTCAAGGATGACAAAAAGCAAAGACTTCACATTTTTGCATGCATACTAAACCATTCCACATCAAGCAAACAGATTTTTTTTTCGTTTTTGCTTAATGCTGTGCTAATCAGTTCCAACAACACAGAATTTTTACAAATAATTAAACATAGTTTTTTCAACAGCAATTAATGCAAACCGTATCTGGTATTTCACTAGATTAGACACTGGAAAATTTATGAAACAAGGAGATATGGTATATATGTCCATGAGACAGTAATCCAACAACACACTTAAATTGGAAAAAATTATCTGAAGTGATATTTCTTGACATCAGAAGTGCTTGTACATTATGATATATATTGTTTGACTATGACCATACAGGATTTCAACAAATTTCTTTACAAGATCAGTTTCAAGATGATCATTTTTATTTGCCCACTAATGTTTCAATAGGAGTTCTTAGGTGTTTATCACCTTTCGGGAATGAATCAGATGATTGCAATCTACATCCAATCTGGTCCCCATTACATACTGTTTTTATACGACCGCAAAACGTATATTGGTATGACGTTGGCGTCATCGTCGTTGTCGTCGTCCGGCGTCGTCGTCCGAAGACACATTGGTTTTCGCACTCTAACTTTAGTTTAAGTGAATGGATCTCTTTGAAATTTTACCATAAGGTTCAATACCACAAAAGGAAGGTGGGGATTGATTTTGGGGGTTATGGTACCAACAGTTAAGGAATTAGGGGCCAAAAAGGGGCCAAAAATAAGCATTTTCTAGTTTCCAGACAATAACTGTGGAACGGTGTATGGATCTCTCTGAAATTATACTACGAGTTTCCATACCACAAAGGGATGGTTAGGATTTGCTTTAAGGGGGTTATGTCTCAAACCGTTTAGGAATTAGGGGCAAAAAAGGGGGAAAAACAAGGTTGTCCTGGTTAATGGACAAATACTTTAGTACAAAACATAATTTAAAGCAGTGTAAGGGAGATAAATCAAATACATCATTGAAATTATCTCCCTTACACTGCTTTTAAATTATGTATAAAGTAATGGTTAATGAACAATTAAGATAATTTAAAACAGTGTAAGGGAGGTAATCCAAATACAACGTTTTGGTTACTTCCCTTACACTGCTTTTAAATTATGTTTAAAGAAATGCATATTTATAAAGGAAGACCAGTAAAAATATCTGAAAATGTTGCATCTTTTTTTTTTACAAAAAAATCCATATGAAAGATTTGACACTATATTTTAAATTCTATTATAAAATGGATTAAGTTAGCACTATGGTAAATTTAAATGGATAATTATGGTTGCAAACTCCATTGGAAATTTGAATTGAGATTATGACCATATCTTGAGGGAAAGAATTTTTTGTGGGAAAAAAGGGGGGGGTAAAAAGAAATTGTGGGGGGTCAATTTTTTCTCATTACAGATTTCAGATATTAAAAAGAATTATTCTTCAAATATTATTTTTTTTTCAAATTTCAAATATTGAAAAATTTCAAGAAGTAATCTTTAATTGCACAGTATGGCGCATTAGATTTGTAAAATCTTTGACCACATTTATTTATTTGTTATGCCAAATCTAACCGTGTATTTAGATTTTTAATTTTGGGTCCAGTTTTCAAATTGGTCTACATTAAGGTCCAAAGGGTCCAAAATTAAACTTTGTTTGATTTTAACAAAAATTGAATATATGGGGTTCTTTGATATGCTGAATCTAAACATGTATTTAGATTTTTGATTTTTGGCCCAGTTTTCAAGTTGGTCCAAATTGGGGTCCAAAATTAAACTTTGTTTGATTTCAACAAAAATTGAATATATGGGGTTCTTTGATATGCTGAATCTAACCATGTATTTAGATTTTTTATTTGTGGACCCCGCTATCAAATTGGTTCATATTGAGGTCAAAAGGGTCCAAAATTAAACTTCGTTTGATTTCATCAAAAATTGAATTATTGGGGTTCTTTGATATGCCAAATCTAACCATGTATTTAGATTTTTAATTTTGGGTCCTGTTTTTTAAATTGGTCTACATTAAGGTCCAAAGGGTCCAAAATTAAACTTAGTTTGATTTTAACAAAAATTGAATTCTTGGGGTTCTTTGATATGCTGAATCTAAACATGTGTTTAGATTTTTGATTATGGGCCCAGTTTTCAAGTTGGTCCAAGTTGGGGTCCAAAATTAAACTTTGTTTGATTTCAACAAAAATTGAATATATGGGGTTTTTTGATATGCTGAATCTAAACATGTATTTAGAATTTTAGATTTTTGGCCCAGTTTTCAAGTTGGTCCAAATTGGGGTCCAAAATTAAACTTTGTTTGATTTCAACAAAAATTCGTATCAAGCTGCGCCCAGCGAAGCATTTTATTTTAAAAGATTTTATAAATGAAATTATTTTTCTTAAATCCCTGTCTTTTTCTTGGTTTGTGTGATACTCAGGATGATTTCTTATAGAAGGAGATGTGGTATATGTGTCTATGAGACAGCGACACAACAACACACTAAACTTAGAAAAGCAATCTGAAGTAATGTTTCTTGACATGAGAAGTGCTTGTACATTATGATAAGTGCTTGTACAAATGATTGTGTGTGATTTGAACAACAACCAGGTGATTAAGTACCAAAAACCGGTATGTACAAGACTTATACAGTCTTAAATGTGTCTATATTAAGATGATATATTATTGTTGTTTTTCCATGGATGAAGCACGGAGGACGGATGGCAAAATACTTCAATCTTCTCATTAAAGTTTTATACTTTAAAATTTTCTTGCCTATTTCAGCCTTTTAGAGTAAATAGTTCTACAATGTACTTTCCTTTTTTATTTGCAGGGTTTTAAGATATTTTTCTTCATCGTTGGAGGACTGTATCTTCTGTACTTAGGATATCTGTTAATTAGAGCATATGCAGAGCTGAGATCCATGCCATATTTTGGTAAGAGCATACACAAGTTGACATCTAGGAATTCATGAAACTGTGATATAAAAGTGTCACAAAGACTTTAAAGATTTGTTATCTTGCCTGCTTCCGTTGTTACAGTGTTAGAGATTAGAATGACAGCCAGGCTGTGGCTGCAAGGGAATATACTAATTTAAAAACTTTGTATTTCAGAAAATAAAAAAAAATTTAGACAATCCAGACATATTTTGTATATATTTACCTCATTACTCTGTTTCCTGCAGGAAAAATCCCTCAGTTGCTATTGACCACTATTGCATAGTAGAATTATTTTCTCAAGTTTATTTAAAGTCATTCTTATTATATGAGGTTGTCATATACCATCAAAAATTAAAAAAAAAAAAACATTGTAAATTGTACCAGTCTTTCTGACGTAAGTCGCTTGACCTTGACCTATAAATAGATCAGTGTTGAAGTTTATATACGCCCGTTTACGGGACATTTTATGGTATACCGTTGTCTGTCTGTCTGTCAGTCACGGCTATTCCATCCAACCGTCTTCAACATATCGGACTTTAACTAAAAAACGCTTTAACCAATTTGCATGAAACTTTGGTGAATTGTTTATATTTATTGACATACACTCTCTTTCAGTTTTATAAATTTTAGATTTTACGTATCAGAGTTATGGGGTTTTATTCATTAAAAAAGGGGGGTTTTCCAGTTTTTGGACAATAACTCAAAAATGCTTTGAGCAGTTTTCATGAAACTTTGGTGAATTGTTTATATCTATTGACCTAAGCTCCCTTTTGGTTTTAAATTTATTTTAGATTTTACATTTCCGAGTTATGGGTTTTTATTCATAAAAAAGGGGGGATTTTCCAGTTTTTGGACAATAACTCAAAAGTGCTTTGAGAAATTTTCATGAAACTTTGGTGACTAGTTTATATCTATTAAAATAACCTCCCTTTAGTTTTTAAAGAAAATTTCTGATATAACATTGAGGAGTTATGGATCTTTATCTGTTGAAAAAGTGACGGGCGTATCATGCGCTCATGGCGCAGCTCTTTATTATTGTTAGGTCAGTTCCTCAGTTAAAACGAGTAATAGGTGGTGTCAGTATATTTACTTTGTAGAATCATTGTAAGATGTACATGTCTGTATGAGATAGGTCACCTCTCCTCAACCTATTAATTTTTATTGAACTGTGACTAGTGAAATGTCTTGGTGCCTAAGTCTGTATGAGATAGGTCACCTCCCCTCAACCTATTAAATTTTTATTGAACTGTGACTAGTGAAATGTCTTGGTGCCTAAGTCTGTATGAGATAGGTCACCTCCCCTCAACCTATTAAATTTTTATTGAACTGTGACTAGTGAAATGTCTTGGTGCCTAAGTCTGTATGAGATAGGTCACCTCCCCTCAACCTATTAAATTTTTATGGATTAGTGACCAATGGGATGTTTTGGTGCTTAAATCAGTTTCTCTGCTAATGATTTATAGGTCAGCTATATGTGACCAGCCATGAGATTTTCAGGCTTATGGAGGTTCCAGGGTCTTTTATTTGGTCTATATAATCATTGTAATGTGTATATGTTTGTCTAAAAGGAGTCACCTCAAATTGAGCTCAATTTCATGGTGTATTGTAAGCCAACATGTATATTTCCGTCTTACTGGGATCATTGTTTGAAAAGCTTCATTTAATTTTGATGCATAGTCATTTTTTAATTCTTATAAATGATAGTTCAACCATATTTGGTCTACAAAATCAGTGTAAGTAGGTTTATTATGAACATATAGTTCAGTGATCAGGGTTTAGTTATCATGCATAGGTCAGTTTCTTAAATACAATGAATGATAGGTCGACAGTATTTGATCTATAAAATTATTGTAAGGGGTATGTGTCTGTCTGAAAAGTTAAACTTGACCTTGAAGTCATATTCATGGTTAGTTGACTCATATATAATTTAATGATGATGATCCTTGATGCGATTTGTGAATCCTAATACTGTGGAATCATTATTACATATATTTGTGGGATACCAATTTCGTGGGTACATGCAAACCGCAAATCTAAATATTCAACAAAGTACAAATTTTATATAGGCTTGTATGTAGACATTTGGTAAAACCACAAAATAAAATACCCACGAAAATACCATTTTTCCATAATTCATGAAAATTGGTACCTGCAAAAAAATAAATAAATCCACAGTATCTACTGTTGGTAACAAGACTGCACTGATTGTAAATTTTGTACATGTAGTTTGACATCAGAATTATAGAAATTGAATTATATTTTGACTTTTGTTCAAACGAGTTTCATATAACCAACTATGCTGGTAATGGATTGTTTCAGAATATCTGCAGTTATTGTCCTGCTGGTACACCAAAATGAAAATAACATCATTGGCCGTATATCCATTGTTTATGATTTAGTTAGCCAATCACAACTTTTTGGTAATCCATAAAAAGGGATAACTGCTAGGAATAGCCAAAAATACGACACAGTAAAAACAGATCACATCAACTCCTTACACCTGATTCCTCTGAAAATAACCTAGACCTACAAACAAAGACAAGCAATAACGAATAAAAACACATGGTCCAGATACATGTAGCTTTGCTTGGTACAGGCACAATAAAATAAGTGAATGCTTTTAAAATATCATCCTAAAAATGCTTAAGTTCCTGTAACTGTGACCTCATTTCTGTGTTTCTACACTTGTTTTCACCAATATTGTTTTTTTTCAGATTTGAGGTTAAAGTTCATGACGTTTTTGATGTTAATTGTGTTGACAATCAGTATTACAATAACAGTGATGAGATATGGTGCTGCAGCTTTACAAGATAATTTTGTAGCAGAATTGTCCACAAACTACAAAAATTCGGCAGAATTTGTCGCATTTTATGGTCTGCTCAATTTCTATATGTATACAATGGCATTTGTATACTCGCCTTCCAAAAATGCTATATATGGTAAGCTTATTCAGCTTAGTTTGAAAAAAAAATATAGTGTTTTCTTTCTTTATACATCTTTTCTATATTAAAATAAAAAGAAGTGGTATAATTACCAATGAGACAACTCTCCACCAGAGACCAAATGATGTATCCAGATTTATGTACAAAATAGGGATGTCAACTCGGTGAACAATTACTAATCGAGTACTCGTTGGTTTTATCGAGCGATACTCGAGTACTTGCTCTGGAATATATCTACAACACAGAAACACAAAAATACCTATTTTACATTCTGAAAAACAACAATCTAATCAATATAATTTAATGAACACATATTTAAAAATTATAACAAGGAAAAACCATATCAAACAATTGTATTTGGTAATCGTTAAGAAAACACATTTAATGTTTACAAAGGCATAAGGATTAGAAGTTTAACTATTCACTGAGGGTCACCAGAGGATGCAACAAATTTATTTTATTTGGAATCATTTTCTAGTCAACTTTTATTGGGGACAATCGTTTTTGCAACTTTGTAAATTACAGTCTTGCAGACGAAAATATTTGATCTGACGGTACCAATGTGACAGAAAGGCTAAGACATGTTTAGTTTAAAGTGTTAGACTAGGTATAACCCACATATTTTTGCCGTCATTTTAAATGACAATTTAGCACAAGCATTTGAATTAAAATGTATTTTATCTACTAGTATGATTAATCAGTGATGCCTATTTAATTTTCCGAAAGAGGTTCTCAAGAAGATCAATTTTATATAAAGAAGACAGCAATATTCTAACAGGAAACCGATTAGTCCAGTATCGTTTTGGTATTTGATCCTCAGTACAACCGAGCGATACTCGAATACTCGAGTACTCGCTGACATCCCAAGTACAAAACAATAAAAAAAAATCAAATATGATATACAGCATCAAAAGACAACCACTGAAATACAGGCCCCTGACTTGCTCAGGTTAATTTTCATGCCAGTCCAAAAAACCTTTTGTAAGGTTATCTTTTGGTTTTTTTCAACACAAAATCATTAACAGGGGCACAAAAACATCATATAAAACAGTGATTTCAATAATGATTTTGGATGGAGTTTATCTTTTCCTTAAATAGCCAAAATAATATGTTGCTTGAAATAAGCAAGACTAAACTAAAAGTGTTATTTGTCTGGCAATTTAAAAAAAAATCCCTTCTCCATGTTAAAACAATGTTACTAATGACCATTGATATGTGGTTTTTCCATGAAGAAAAATTAATAGTCCAAAATATTACTTTCAAACTTTTTATGATCATAATAATTTTCTTTTACAGAGAGCAATTTTAAAGACAATCCTGGTATGAGCATGTTGAATGACTCTGATGAAGATGTGCATTATGGGTAGGTTTTATAATCAGTGACAAGGTTGAAGCTATTTTGAACACTTTTACAGACATTTTGAATTCTGTTATGGTATAAAAAGCATTATGTTTAAAATTGTTTTGTTAAAGAAATTCTTAATTCTACAGAAATTTTCATGTTGTGAGATAAAGTTGACCTACTAAAAATGAAAACATCAAAAGAATTCTCCATGCAATTAAAAAATGTTTGACTAAGGTCATATGCATAAATATTGACCTGCAGCAATATTTTGAAACAGTTTTGGTCCTTTAGTTGAGGATTTGTTTTTTTATTTAATCTAATATAAAATATTACGGTTAACAAGGCTGCAATGTATTTTACTTCAGAAATAATTCTTTCATGCCATGCTCTATGCTCATTTTAACTTGGGTAGGCATTATATTTGTCAATATCTTTGTACCGAGCGTTAGTGAGGTGTAAAATGTTGACAAGTATAATGCCTACCCATGTTAAAATAAAAGAACAGAGTTCCAATGTCCCCCGCTTGGCATATATTTTATCTTTCCAAGGTACAAGGGCAATAACTAAATAAAACACTTTTTTTGTAGCGCTTACGAGGCCATTTTTCATAAATTTAATATTTCCAAGGGGCATAACTCTTTTAAAAAAAGTCGATCAGCCACCATAATAGAACTCGTCCGAGATATTGCTGATATTAACCTGTAGTATAAGTTTTATAAAAATCTGGCAAGAATTGTACCTGTGAGAGCGCTAACAAAGACCGGACTGACGGATGGATACACGGACAGACGCCTGGTATTTCCATGTCCCCGGCAATGCTTAAGCAGGGGACAATGAGCATAGAGCATGACATGATAGAATTATTTCGATTCTTATCGGAAAATTGAGAACTTTTGTACTTCAAAAGCGGACCTATTGATACACGTTCGAAAGGAAGCCATTTTGATTTGATGAGGTAGAAACGTTGTAGAAAATCAACCGTTTCACGATAAAGAATGAACAGATACATGTAAATTTACCTTGAGAAAGATTTAATTAATTTCCTAGAGAGCAACACCAACACAAATGTCCATTTTGATCTCCGGCATTGTTCAAAGTACAACTAACGTCACAGTTTCAATTGTGACACCAGTCATGTACAGCCCATGTTTTATTGGAATTAGAACATAGCTTTGTTTCCAAAGCGAAAGAAGAATGTCATATTAGAATAATAAATAAAACGAAGAATTAGGGTTAGCTTCAGAAAATGAATTATTTGGTCAAACTCATGTCAACATTTATTTTAGGTCAGACCAAGAAGAAACAACACTGACAACAAGTCGACATGTCAGTCGTTACCATGACAGTGATGAAGAGATATTCCGACGGTGAAAATAGTGATTTTGAAGCATTATGGGACAGTAGATCTGATCTGTGGTCAAGGGTACTCGTAGAGGCCATTTTGGTTGGGATTGTGATAAAAGATGGCATTTATTAATAGTGCAATATAGATTACTTATATTATTGTGTTTTTTACATTGTTTGTTAAAACAAGTTTTCAGTCTATATGACAAATGTTTTATAACAGTGAATACCTATTAAATCTCAAAGTGATACAGCCAAAAAGTCTTCAGACGGAAATTGTTTGTTAATTTTATTGTTTTATTTAAATTGTAATAGTAAAAGAGCTGCTCCAGAATTAATAGTATGGAGGGGTTTGAAGGCACTTTTATTACAGTTTAATGTGTGGTGGTTATTTTAGAAAGATAGCATGGAAAATTATAGGAAATAGTCAATTTAAATATTATGCATGGCAGGGTAAAATGAAAAGTGCTTTCTGACCCCCAATACATGTATTTCTGTAACAGACCTAAGAAGTATTAATGCAAATTGTAATTAAAATATTTTTAAGACTTTATATTTATGCTTGATGAACATACTTTTAATGTGTATTAAAATATGAAATAGTTATGTCTTGGAAGCCATTTTGAAAAGTCAAGACATATGTTACAAGATAAATCTAAAAAATAAGAAGCTGGTTCATTTAGAAAAATTCCTGCTTACTTATATGCACAGTATTATCTAAATAGAATAATAAAACTTAACTGACCTTTTGAACCATACCATATAGGATGAAGAAGTAACAAATATAGTATTCAATAACAAAAGGTTAATTGTTTTCCAATACAAAATTAATTTCTTTTTTTTTCTCTCTGCTGTATGCTGTTTCACATTTTTATGTGTGATCTGATTGATGTTATCATTTTTGCTTTAAAGAATTTTTTCAAAAGGACTATTTTAAAAATTCAAATTTATATAGTTAGTGCATAAGTCTAATATACTTTGTTTGCATTGGTAAAATGAAAATTTTTGTCTTATAAAGTTTTCACTATAAATTAATTTGAGCCAATATTTACCTTTAACCTTCCATTAGATATATAGAGAATAATACATGGCAAAATCTGTATCATATGCCATATCATCCGGAGATACCAATATCAGGCCGAGGGCCTTTATACGGATTTTGCCATGTTTTATACGCTTTATCATATATTTAAACAGGAGAGTATATATGAACTGCTTTCTGATCCCTAGCACCTGGGTTACCTTCAGATTTACTTTTGTCTTGTTTTAAAAGCTTTTGAAGAACTTCTTAATTATTCATCCGAAGCACCTGGGTTACCTTACAATTTGCATCCTGTTGTTCATAGAAATATTTTGTTTATTGTATTTTTTGTCGAGCCTTCGACTTTTGTCGAAAAAGCGAGACATAGCGATCCTACATTCCGTCGGCGTCGTCGTCGTCGTCGCTGTCGTCGTCGTCGGCAGCGTCCACAAATATTCACTCTGTGGTTAAAGTTTTTGAAATTTTAATAACTTTCTTAAACTATCCTGGATTTCTACCAAACTTGGACAGAAGCTTGTTTATGATCATAAGATTATATTCAAAAGTAAATTTTGTAAAAAAAAAATTCCATTTTTTCCATATTTTACTTATAAGTGGACTTAGTTTTTCTGCCAGGAAACATTACATTCACTCTGTGGTTAAAGTTTTTGAAATTTTAATAACTTTCTTAAACTATCCTGGATTTCTACCAAACTTGGACAGACGCTTGATTATGATCATAAGATTATATTCAAAAGTAAATTTTGTAAAAAAAAAATTCCATTTTTTCCGTATTTTACTTATAAGTGGACTTAGTTTTTCTGCCAGGAAACATTACATTCACTCTGTGGTTAAAGTTTTTGAAATTTTAATAACTTTCTTAAACTATCCTGGATTTCTACCAAACTTGGAAAGAAGGTTGTTTATGATCATAAGATAGTATCCAGAAGTAAATTTTGTAAAAAAAAAATTCCATTTTTTCCGTATTTTACTTATAAATGGACTTAGTTTTTCTGCCAGTTAACATTACATTCACTCTGTGGATAAAGTTTTTAAAATTTTAACAACTTTCTTAAACTATCCTGGATTTGTACCACACTTGGACAGAAGCTTGTTTATGATCAAAAGCTAGTATCTAGAAGGAAATTTTGATAAAATTTTGTTCCATCTTTTCCATATTTTACTTATAAATGGACTTAGTTTTTCTTCCAGTCAACATTACATACATTCTGCAGTTTAAGTTTTTAAAACATTTATTAGATTCATAAATTATCCTGGATTTTTACCAAACTTGGACAGAAGCTACTTACAATCAAAAGATAGTATAGAGAGGAATATTTTTATTAATTTTTTTCCTCAATTTTGTTGAGCCTGCGATTAACACCAAAAGTAGGCGAGACACTGGGTTCCGCGGAACCCTTACGAATTTTTTGTATTTTGTATGGTATTTCATCGAGGTCTTTTTTATAGTTGCATTTGTGTGCCAGAAAATATGAAAGCTCGTTGTCTGTGACGTCACATGCAAACAATGACGTCATTCGATAAATGACGTCACGCCCTAATGACCGTTTCATTTAGGACCCATTGAGGAAAAATATTTCTTGAGAATTAAGCTTGCATAAATTAAAACATGGACTTCATGTAAATTTAGTCGGAATCACTACTGTCATAAATGAGAAATTTGAGTAGGGGTGTGATAAAGGGGGTGGGATAAAGGGTGTGCATCAAAGTTGAGCGATACGGATTAAACAGCATGCTATTTATCAAATATTCAAAACTACTGTAATTACTACTAAATATATGATAAATTGTTTATCACATGTTTTGTACTAATATGTACATTTTTGCATGTCCAATAATAGCTGAAAGTTGGAGTCAGTTATTTGTTCTTGGGGCCAATACCGATATTTGCCCTCAAATACTCATATTGAGCCCCCAAATTTAAATTCCAGTAAACCTGTCAATCAAAAAACAATAAATGAAATATTTGATAAATAGATCACAACATGGCATTTTCCATATTGGCCATGGTATCAGCCCTCGACCTACACCCTTAAGCTTGGGAGTCTCAGGCTGATACCAGGGCCAATATGGAAAATGCCATGTAATAATTTATAAATATTCTCTCATATTAAACATTTCATATGGGTTTTTCTTCCAAGAAATATGCAGAATTAATAATAGTATATTTAATGTACTAGTAAATGGTCGATAGTAGATAAATACATGTAATTTGATTAAACTACATCAGAATACAAATGATTGGAGAAATCATTTTGTAGTAAGAAGTAGATAACAACTAATAGACTACTTTCATATTATCAACTTTTGACTGTGGAGTTTATTATTTTTCAACAGATAACCTACTTTGTGGTAGGACTTTTTTTCTGGTACTCGGTCAAGTGAGAACAACTAAAAGAAGTAAAATCAAGCTTATAGTCGGTGCAATATGAGGAAACAAGTTAAGTTATAAATCATTTTTTTGTAATTTCCAATATCATGTGACAACTGTTTTGCAGTTGTCTGATTAGCCAAGAGTCTTGTGTTCTATTTTAATTGGCATACTTAGCAATAATAGAAAGGTAGCAAATTGCTTGTTTTTATTAGTTGAGAATTTACCATCAGTTAGCTCATATGATGTTGAAAGCATACCATATTTCAGTATTTAATTTTATTTACCTCCATTTTTAATAGGAACTATTATCTAATTATTTCAAAGTTAAATATATATCCATTGTAGTTCATGCATCAATGATGTATTCTGATGAATGCTAAAAAAAAATCTTGAAAGGAGAAGGTCCAGTAAGGGCTAGTTTTTGCTTAAAATTTGAAGTACATCTGATGAAAGATTTTTGTTATTATTCAAACCCTTAAGTGTCTACAGTGGATTCAATTAGTTTATGAAAAGGATTTGAACTGATTTGGTCATTTAAGACACTCAAATTCAAGCTTAGATATCAATATATGCTATAAAACGTCACTTTTCGGATGGTTTTTGTCTAAAATGTAAGGGACCGCATTCGTGTTCAGTCTCAACCTTTATATATGTTATGTATAGTCATCAAATACAACATATTTAAATATTAAGATTGAACACAAATGCAGCCACTTCCATTTTAGACAAAAACTCTTAAAATTAGCACAAATGCTAAAATTGTGAAGATTTCAGTAATTTTGCATGAATTTATGATGCTATTACCCGATGCATGTACATTGTATTGTCAAAAACAGCCCATATTTATGGAACAAAAGTATTCTACGTTCCAATAAATAGCTAAAAGTTTACATTTCAACAAATTTGTAAAAATGCTATAATTTGGGGCCAAAAAGGGGTCTTACCAGGCCTACTCCTTTCTGGTCTTTCATGTTTTTATGCCCACGCCGTAGTAGAGTGGGCATTAAGTTTACCCTTGTCCGTCTGTACGTCCATCTGTCCGTACGTCCCAAAATTGGTTTCCATTCTCTAACTTTAATTTGCCTCAACCAAATGTTATGAAACATATACACAATGCTAGTTACCACAAAACACAGATCAAGATTGAATTTTGGTGGCGTCACTTTTACCATTCCAGAGTTATGCACCTTTACAAATGGAAAAATTGCTGAATTTTTTGTTTCCGTTCCCTTACTTAAGTTTGCCTCAATTAAATGTTATGAAACGTATACAAAATGCTTATTACCACAAAACTCAGATCAAGTACAAATTTGGGTAGCGTCACTTTTACAGTTTTTGAGTTCTGTCCCTTTTTAACATTATATGCATGCGGGGGCATCATCTGTGTCCCATGGATGCATTCCCCATTTATGTGTTATATGAATTAGTTCAAAAGAGAATAGTTGTGTACTGAAAGCTAGTCACTGTGATTGTTCTTTTTAGAAATATTTATTTGATTTAAAGTTATCTGTGGTTATTTTGTAATTCCATTGGTTTTTTTTAGATATTTTTGTTATAATTTCACTCATTTTGCATAGGTAATGGTATTATTTTTCTATAAATTTTTCATTTTCATTACTTTTTTCCTTTGAAAATGGGTTTGTACTTGGCTGCTTATTTTTTTTTTTACCTGAACTACAAATGAGTCAAGTATAATATAATCAGTTTAAAATTTAAATTATGATTTTTATTCATATATGTATCTTATCTTATCTTTTGTATATGCATAACAAATGTATTTATTTAAAACACGGAATTCATGATTTAATTTTTCACTTTTACTAATTAAAATTGTTGTAACATTTTTATATAGCTTATTTTGTATCTGTTAAAGGGATGACCATAATAAGAGAAGTTACAAAATGGGTTTTTATTAGCCCTTTTTTTTCAATTCGGATGTTGAAGACTATCACTACAAAATTTAGGATTTGACTCCCACACTTGTCTTATTTGTGTGAAAATAGTATGTACTTGTGAACTACATGAATGTGATAGAGTGAGTCAGCTACTCACTAAAGTGAAGGTTTGTTGTACCCCTGGTGCTCAGTAAGACATTGTATGTTAAAAATGTGTGTCCCATCCATTGTCATTAACTTTTGAGAATGAAATATGTTTAAAGTAATAATGTCTTTAGTTAGCTAAAAGATAGAATTGAGGTATGACATCAAAATAGTTAATTAATAGGTTGGTTGTATAGTTTTTGGAAAAAAAATTAGAAGTAACGAAAGGGTCTGCTATTCATAATAAGTGAAGCAAGAGAAACTGTTAGTTATATTCCGTATCAAACTATAAGAAATCCAATTCTTTAAAGACCATAAGCATATCCCTTTATTCACATATTTATATAATATTCTGGATTGTGTAAACTTGCATTGAAACCATTCAAGCTATGTAGGAAGAGTTAAATTTTGATGGTATACTAGGATGATTCCTATGCACCAGACAAATGCCACTTGAAATGGGCAGGATAAATTCCTGTCAAGAACAAAGATGAAAGGTCAAGGTGAAATCCCAATTTACTTCACTGTGATATTTTTGTTGAGTTTTTTTTTTATTGTTTATTTTTATTTTGCAGATTGAAATGCAATTTTTTTATTAGTCTGTCAGTCATATTTAAAATGTTATGTTTTTATATTCAAAATATGTTTAAGTTATTTCGATTTAACATATTGTTAAATATTGCATAGGATAGAAGTTATACAAAAAAGTAATCCATAATTTAGATGGTCCTTCAGATAATCACAAGACATTAGCATGGCAGATATCACTAATGAGTACATGTATTTGAATTTCTACAATTTATGTACATGATAACTTTTGACTTAGCTTGTGATATATAAATATATTTATATATATATAAATACTTCAGTGATGAAAAGTTCCTATATAATTATTGAACACTGTTTAATT